AAAATTTAGGTGTGAACTATTGTATATATGAGGATATATCTTATAGTGAGTTTGATTCAAGTTGGGTATATTGGATAAAATATAGAACTAGTTAGAATCATTTTGTTGTAAGTATTAACTAGTTTGAATTAGAGTATTAACTAAAGAAGATAGTTGCAAGTAATTTGAAGATAATTATAAGATATCCAAGTTTATATGAGATTTAGATTATATTTGTATATTTTATAACTCAAAAAGATTAGTCATATATATTTTATAATATTTAAATAGTTGTGACTCTTGTATATACTCAATGGGTGTATTTGAACGGTAGTGGCTTCCGACAACCAATGGGAAATTACACAAGGAGAGAGACGAATTGGGATACTTTTGTAATTAATAATATTGGTAAATCATGGGAATATATCATTTTGAATGGGTGAATTAAGGGATTAATGTTGAAAATTTTTACGGGCCCACGATCAAGAATATGATTACAATTTAGGGATTAAAATCTTTTAGATTAAAAAAAATAACTATAATAAATATACATGCAATAAATAAGGGTAAAATCGGTATTATAAAAAAAATTTACTGCAGAAATCTAAAAATATAAAATTGAAAAATTTTAGACATTTGTGAAAATAAGTTTTTAAAACAGCCTTCCGAAGAGAATAACTCTTTTACAATTAGTTATTTGGGCCGGCTACACTTGCAAATGTTCAGCCCACTTTACTCCATTGCCAAGCGGCCCTAATATTTCATCAAAATTATCCCAGCCCCCATTTTCAGTAAAGATGCAGATGCCAGGCCCAAAGTATTTACCAGACCTAAAGCCCAAACAATTCAAAATGGTGTATAATAAATAGGTTTTTTTAAAACTTATTTTTAAAATAATGCTAATCTAAATAAAAGTAACTGAAAATGCGTTTTTTCAAGTTTATTCCAAAAATGATGCTTTTGAAATTACTCCACCACTTGGTCGTCTCTTGCCATTTTTAACACTTGGTCGTCTCTTTGACGCTCGATCGGTGGAGATTCCAAAGATACAAAATCGATATGCATTTTTCCAATTCTAGATTATAAATAAGATCAGACTTATCTCCCAAAAGAGAACAAAATTATATGTTTTTTTCTGGCAAAATATATCTGTTTTTATATGAGTATGACAAGTCAAACAAGCCAAAGCGGATGAAACAGCATGTCAAGCTGCAATAATGCCAAACCTACTGGATCACCGTTCATTCACATCATTCATTTGTTTCCCTTCTCTTTTAAATCTTTATTTATTTTAATAACATAATATTACAATTGTGGGAGTAGAGAATTTTTCCATCTTTAAATTATGTTCGTTTGGTTCTAAATTTTTACTGGGACTATTTTTTCTTTTTTCAGTACAATAGGTGGATTGAGAAAATTTCTTTACTTTACGAATTATTAATATTTAAATAAATATAAAAATATATTTTATTTGTTTCAATTATTAAATTTCCTTATTGATGTTAGTAAAACCTTCATTTTTTTTTTACGAGGTACGAAGATTTGAACCTCCGACTTTAAAAAAGATTAGATGTCATTTATTACTAAGTAAGCTCATGTTTACAGCAATAGCTTTTGCATCCTCAAATTTGATACCCAGCTCAATATGGGTAGCAAAAATAGAAATTAACATGAAACTATGTTATTTTCTATAAAGGCAATATAATAAATAAATAAATAAAATAACACTAAATATATATTTTTTTAAATTAACTTTGAAAAGATCACATTAGATAACTATTTTATTTTTTATTTTCTGTTTTTAAAAATTAAGTCTATAAACACTGATTTCATTTTCGATTTCAAAATCTAAGCCTAATTTTAAAATTTTATTTTTGTTTTTAAAATTTGACTAGAAATTTAGAGGTGTGTCGGAAGAAAGGTGAAAATCCTAGCAAATAAATGGTGAGGAATGAGTTTCATTTTCAAAAACAGAAAATTAAAACTAAAATTGATTATCAAACCGCCTCTAATAGATAATAAGATGAAAATCCTATTTTTGTCCAAGTTTGTATATAAGACATAACCAAGACATATATTTTAATTTTGTTCAAAGTTAGAAAAAAAAAAGAACAGAACAGAGAAAAAAAGGGTGTTTAGAAAACAAAATCAGAGAGAATATTCATCATTGAAGAGCCATTCAAGAATTTAAATAGGAAATTTCCCCAATTAAGTCCAACTTTCTCAAAATGAAATCTTTACATCCAATAATCAGAGGCAGAACCTGCATTAGAACAAAGGTTTTCATTCCTCAACACAATCTCACCAGATTAAGAAAATGAAGAAGAAGAAGAAGATGTTACAGTTCTACAAAATGCTATTCTACAGAGAAATGTGAGTTGCAGTGTTGGATTAAATAACTTCCTGCTTGATTTTGGAAGGAAACTCTCCAAACTCAAAAGTTTGGTTCAAATGTTGAGCCCCAAAAATATGTACAGAAGCGCCAACACCAATCCCAAACTGGGTGGTTAATTTGAGGCTCTAGGCTAAGGGTGTGCAGATTGAGTCGACATTTTCGGGTGATTGTGTTCTCCTTCGTATGTTACGATAAGCATCGACGGGTCTTCTAAGCACCGTTCGACGTGCTTTCTCGCTGGACACCCTCTCATGCTGCTGCATTTGTAGTAACCCCTGCACGGATTTAGAAGAAGAAGAAATTTAGTTCACAAAGTTCCTCAAAGATGGACAGTTTCCCCTTTTGCTCAAATGCTAAATTTCTCGAGTTCGACGTTTCTAGTTTCGAGTTTACTAGGAGAAGAAACTAATGAGCTGAGATGAAAATGGAAAATGAATCCTACAAGCAGCAGTAGCAACATACTACACCAATTCACTCTGAATTTTATAGTTTCAAGTATTAAATTCACTTATCACATATGGTACACATTAGCAAACATGAAAAAATGGGATTATATGCCAAAAGAATTTGTAATTTTGAGCAACCAACAGATAAATCTATACTATGCACAAAAATAGGTCTCTGATTCAATCTGATGATCCCCAAAATTTTCGTTCTTTCGAGTCGTTAGAGGATCCTTTTCATATTAATCTCATGAAATTGATAGAAACTATAGAGCCCCTTTATCTTTTTCTAGTAAATTCATCCTGTTACATGAACATCTTGATCTCATGATATAACAAACTGGCCACTCTTCAAGAATAGCTACTCTAAATAAAGCCATTATAAGCTGGACTCGAAATGCCAATCGTTAAGCACGCGACAAAGGTCACGAACCATGATCGTGAAATTACAAGTAAGAACATTACTCTCAAATCTATGCAGGATTAGGCATAAAACAGACATTATTATACTAATGCAGAGATATAAGTGATTTGAAATCTTATTATACCGGGGATGAGGAGAGCCCTTAATTGGCTTCTGCCCATATTTCCTCCATGAATAATCATCAGAAGGGATATCTGCAAGCTTGTTACTTATAGCAGGCACTTTGATTGATCTTTTCACCCTATGTTTCCTACAAAAAGAACTTAATTCACTGAGCAAGTCTCACGGCAATGGACAGCAAAATATTTATATTGAAAAAGAGAGATATCAATCCAACCTCTTTTTTGAGCAGTGGCATTTGCCAGTGCTTCCACATTTCAAGCTCCCCTCATCTCCTCCCCTTCCTGAAAACTTCCTCTTGTTATCGGCCGACGTCGACGGTCCGATCAAGTGGAATGAGCTTCCGTCCGCCACGCTCCCGTCCATACTCAACGAAGAAATGAAAGATCTAGCTGATGACATTGTCAATGTGCAGTTAGATGTGTCAAAATTCAGATTCATGCCGCTGTTGTTGTTCCTAAGAAACATCATTTCTGATTGCTGTTTAATCTGTTTCTGCTGAGGCAAAATCCTCTGTTGTTGTTGGTGTTGAGGGAAGAAAGATGGAGCTTGTCTGGGAATTTGGAGGAAGTTCTTGTCATTTGGACCCAATTCTAAATCTGGGATTCCCAGAAAAGTTGAAACTTTACCATTCAAACCAGACTGAGAAGGGTGGAGATTTTGATTTTGGGTTGGAAGATGGTGAATTGGGTAATCCAAGAGGGTGTTTTGGGGCAAAGGGAGAGAAATCTTGTTGAGTTTTCTGACTCTAGCATGACCCAAACCAGAATTCAAAAGAGAAACCACTTTCCTGAACTTGAAAACAGCTTCCCCAGTTTCCACCATTAAATTCCTCAACTGAATTTGGTCTGCAGGTTGAGCCAAGAGATTCAGAACTCCATGGCAGCTCTCTAAAGCTACTCTGTTAGCTTCCTCCACCTCTTCCATTTGCAAACCCCACAGAGAACAAGAAAATAAAAACAGAATTTACAACAGCAGAACGAACGATAAAGAAAGATCCCCAAAAACAAAAGAGCTTAGCTGAAAAAATAATCAAACATCCCACAGAAGAACAGAGCAGCCAACATCCGAGAAGGAATCATGAGAAGTTGAAGTTGGGGAAATTGTTAAGAAAAAAAGAACAGAAACCCAGAGGCAGGGACAAGAGTAAGAGTTGAAAAGGAAGAAAAAAACAACAAACACAGAGCGTGTAAGTTTCAGAAACCCTAAACAAACTGATGATCCATGATTTTGGTGGTGAGTGTGAAAAAGAAGACTTTTTTTTTTTTTTTGGCTTTTGTTTTTGTTTTTGTTTTGTCTGGCTTGAGAAGAGAACTGAACCCAACCCCCCTGAAGAAGCCAGAGGCAAAAACTACAAAGTTTCCATCTTTCTTACTCTCTTTCCCACCTTGCTTATTTAAATGCTTTGGAAATTCTCTATGGGAGAAAGAAAAAGAAAAAGAAAAACAGATTTGAAAGTTGAAAGTAGAGAGAGGGAGAGAGAGAGAGAGAAAAAAAGAAAGAGGAGTTTTTCTTTGGAGGGTCCCACAGAGTGGGGTTTGCCAGTTGCTTTGCTAATTGCTCATTGCTTGAGTGAAGACTGAAGAGAAGAGAAATGGATGATAAATACACGTATTGGTATTTGTGTCTTTTTGTGAAGAAATTCACTCTTATTTCAAAGGCAGACGGTTTCAATTTTCAAATTTGCTGTTGAGGGCCAATTTGTATTATATTTTTACCTGTCTTTTTCTGATTAGTTGTTTTTTTTTCCTTTTGGATTTTTGTTGGTTTTGAGCCGCATTTTTTGGACTTGCCAAACACACTCTCACCATGCAAACACACACTCATCATCCCACTTGTAAATTCTACTCTCTCTCTCCCTCTACAAACTTTTCTAACCCTTTTTCTTATTTTGTCCATAAATTTAGAAAACTCAAGTTTTAATCGATTGGATTAAACTCATGATTTCTTAGTAAAAAAATATGTCATTTACCATTAAGCTAAGTTTATGTTAACTTGAAATCTCCAATATTAAATTGTCTTTCTAGTGTAAGGAAGAAATATCCTATTATGTTTATATATAAAATCACTTATGTCAAGATAAAAATACCGACATTAAGTAAAAATTTAATACGCCAGTTTGAAACTAATTATGTGATGATCTAAAATTTGATTTTGAAAAGAATATATTTGGGTGGAATTTGGATATGCATAAATAAATAAAGATGTAAAAAAATAAGAAAAAGAAAATTGGCATTACGGCCCGAGATTCGACCTGATGCAATCATGGCCGGAGAGACATGTCTTGCGGCTGACAGGAAAGTGGGTCCCACTGGGCCCACAATAGTTGACTCTTTTCCGTATTTGTTTCCCGCAGTCAAAGTCATCCAACTCAGAATGTTGCAACACCTTCTTTCCTCATTAATTCAAAACAAATTCAATTATTATTATTTATTAAATAAATAAAAGAGAGGCAAGTTCTGCAATTTTGAATACGTTTCTTAGTTGCATGAATTCAAATATGGTAAAACAATATTTTTGTTTATGTTTTGAAACAAATTGAAAATAAGAATAAGAAAGAGATATATTTTTTGTGATTGTTCCAAAATTTCTAAAGAATGTTACCAAATAACAAGAAATAATAAATAAAGTTAGTTGCAAAATGTTTTGATTTCTTTAAAAAAATTAAAAACGAGAAAGGAGAAAATGAGACATTACCAAACGAGTCCAATTTGAACTTACGACCTTTAATTGTAAATAGACATCTTAACCAATTAAGTTATGTTCGATTTGATTTTTGATAATATTATTATAATTTTGACGTTCTGATATTCTTTAATGTTTTTATTTTGTTTGCTAAAAAAATATATTTTATATTTTGTTTCTTAATAAATTTTATTGTGCTCAAGATCAAAGTCCACGTTACAAATTTACATCCCTCAACATTTTGGATCACCTTTCCAAGCGTTTTCATTTAGCATCTCTGCGTTTCATTAGTTCGGCTTTTTTATTTGATAACTATGTTAATTTGGAATTTTATTTTTAAAGTTTAAGCAATATGATGACGTGACCAGGGTTGAGTTGGGTTGGTTATAGAAAACACCTCCTTCAAGTTGGAGAACTAAGGACATATTTGGTTGGAAACTCGAATTCTGTTTTTTGTTTTCAGATTCACTCAATCAAATAGATTTAGTAAATATGCATTAGGCAGGATCTGGTAGATTCGTTTATTACAACTCTTTTCGTATTCTGTGATCCAATTCATAATTTGAAATTTTTAAGATAAATATATTTACTTCATATTATAAACTAATTTCATGTTTGTTAAAATTAAAACATGTAAAAATATAATGTATTCTAAATTATATAACATTGTAAAATAACAACGGTACAAAATTCATAAAAAAATGTTAAAAAATTAATTAATATAACTTTAGATTAAACTAAATATTTAGTTTGTAACTATTCCTAATTTTCAAATATATTACTAAACAACAATTTTTTAAACTGAGATTTAATTACCAAATCTGACATAACTAAACACATATAACATTGAAAAACAAATAATACAACTGTGATTTTCATTGAATCCCTTGCTTTCAGATTTCTACGTAGAATAGTCTCAACCTCTGTACACCCCTGTATCCTTCAAAGGTAGTTATAATTCCATTTGTCCTTCAAATACTTTTGTGCATGTCTAAATATATTTTTAATGATGAGAGATGACTATTTAAAAATGAAGATTTTAATCTCATCCAGCCAACTGTCTCTCTCTCACAGGAAGAAGGCTACCTCCATCTGAATGGAGTGGGGGAGAGAGAGAGGAATTGGGTTAGTAAGAATAATTTTAGTGCTTAAATAAAGATATTTTTATATTAAAAAAGTATGAACAAATGAGATATTTTGAAGAGATGTAGGTATAGGGAATTTCCCAAGGAAGTTAGATGCCTTTATGAACTTATTTTAATTTAGTGGAGAGTTTTTATAATTAAATGATACCATAATCAGTGGAAGTTAGTGGAATTATCATTATTGCAAATTAATTGGCCTCATAAGTGCTCTCCATACGCATTCCAAAAGCCCTCCATTTTGGTCATTATTAAAAAGAGTTAATAGTAATAATTTCCTCTCCACATGCATTGTGTAAGAAAGATGCTACTTATACCATAATTATTAGAATTTTGTCTATCTTAACAATAAAACGCATCATTCAAATGGATTAAGATACATATTTTTGTCAATATGAGTTTAATTCAACGGTAATTTATACATGTATCTGATCAAGAGATTATAAATTCGAATTCCCTCAACCCCATTTTTTGTATTCGAAAAAAAAATTAAGATAAGTTCGAATCTCCACTCCCATATTTTGTCTCACTATGTAGAATCATATACTTACAAAATTTGTACCATTTAAAATATAAGAATGTAAGCTCGGATGGATAACAATATTGTTTTCAATTTTTTTTTTAGTTTTAAAATTAAGGTTTGTAATCTGTTCATTTTATTTTTCATATTTAAAAATAATTTTTAAATCCTTAGTCAAAAAAAAAAAAGAAAGAAAAGTAAAAATAGATGTTTTTCAAAAAATAAAATTGTCTTGAATTTTTAAAAAGGGTGTGATCAAGACTATTACAAATAAAATGGGAGATCTTGATTAAATTAGAAAAACGTGTGAATTATAATTTAAATTGAGGGTGAATCTCTTTTTATTTTTATTTTATACTTATTAAAGGACATCAGATAGAAATTGAACATCCAACTTTTAGAAAATGAACAAGATACATTAACCGTTGAACTAAGCTCCTGTTGAGAAATTAGGATGATTTCGATTTATAAATATGATTGGAAATTATTAAGACAAGTTAATAATAATGAGAAAAAGAACTGAAAAGGCTTGGGAATAAAGGGAGATAATCATATGAATTTGGAAAGAGAATTTAAGATAATGGGTGTCACACGGTCTAAAAAGTGAGAGTATAAAGTTAATAAAAAATTAGACACTTTTCTTGGGCTCGACTCTTTCGACCTTATCTCTAGTTGAAATTTCAATTTCTTCCATTGATTGATAATGTTTTTTTCTACAATATGGAGATCTTTAAATTATTTTTTTTAGTAAATTAATTATTTTTTTAGTACAACATGAGGTATAAATTTGAACTGAAAATGAGTGATTTAACCAGTTTAGTTACATTCAAATTGACAAATTTTAATTAACTTATTTTAGTTATGTCAGGTTGCCAATTTTTAATTAACTTATTTTTTTAAATAATTTCGTATGAATAATTTATATCATTAGCACACAATTAAAATATAGTATAAACTTCTGTATATTTTATTTAACAATCTATTAACAGAAAATTAAAACATTATTTGATTTAGGACATTTTTTTTTTTTTTTTTAACATTCCAAGAATTGCCACTCTTTGATAGAAATAGTATGGCAGATCACTTTATCCGGTAAAGAAAGCTTTTCATTACAATATTAATAGTAGTAAGTGAAATATTGGGATATCCAGAGAAGATCTAAACTGGTTTAAAAATAAGGGTTTTGTTTTATAAAAATTTCAAAATGAAAATATGATTTGTAGGGTTGAAAGGTTTAAGAAAGCATAATCCCCAACCTGATCGATAGAACATCCCACTTACCTTTAAAAAATAATAATAAGGAAAAAGTTCTCCAACTCAGCATAATAAAGTTTAATTTCTATATTTTAAGCTTAAATTTAATTTAGTTCCTATAATTTCAAAATTTAATGTCACTAGTTATTTGCAAGGTAAACAGAATTTAACTAAAAAAAAAAAACACTAATAATTTTCAGCCTGGTTCGCATGCTAGCATTAATCAAATACCCCTAGAAAAAAGGCAAAAAAGGTCAATATTGGCCCCAATTCAATTTGCATTGGATATCACCCCACTAGTGAGAAATTGAAATACAACTTCACTTTGACTGACAGGCAAAAAAGAAAAAGGAAAAAAAGAAAAAGAAAAATACAATACAACGTTTGAATTTCTTCACAAGATAATGAGACACATGAATTTAAACATTTTGTTTTGAATCCTTTGAATAAAGTGGTCCAACAAAAGGGAAAAGGTGGTGTTTGGGATTTTGGTTGGACAGGACAGGTTTGAGAGAGAGAGAGATGGAGGCTTTCTTGCTATTCTTTGAATCCAATCTAACCCTTCTTCCAATATCATTGGATTTAATCCACAAAGTCATAAACTTTCCCAAAAATTGCAAAACTAGTTTCAAAGAATTTTTCATTGAAGTTGGAAGCTTCTGAGATCTATATTGATCGAGTCAGTTGACATATTGCTATTGGAAAACGGAGAAAAAAAAATAATCACTCTGATCAAACATACTGTTGTCAGAGAAGTGTTTATGAATATTCTTAGGTTAGCCTAAGAGACATTTTAGTCTCGATTAAAATGCAGGATGGTAGATTTAATCAATCTAAATGACCTAGACGGTCCCTTCGGGGACCTCCGATAAAATCGGGACGATATAGGGAAATGACCTAGATAGATGATAGACCAATCTAACTTGACTAGGTTCGATCGTTATTACAGATGGAGGCCTTCCAAAAGGCTTGTAAAAGAAATGCTATGGATCTTTGAAGAACATTTTTGAGTATCGATGATGGTTCCAACCATAAAGTTTTCTAATCTAACCATCCCTGCCAAAATACATGTCTAAATCGAGATCTTAGCTACTCATTTTCAAACGATCTTCCACCCCTTTCTTCTAGCTTTTCTTGGGAATCAATTTGCCTATAGTTGATTTTCTGTAGAGAGAGAGCCAAATAACTTCCATATCAATAATTTTGTGTTGATAATGAGACCAAGGGCATTAATGTACAAAGCCTGGAAAAGTGGCATTTTCATTGAGCAGGAAGCCCTGAAATATCAACAATATCATGTTCATAATCATCTGTTTTAAGGGAATCTTCAGACTGCAGCCCACACTCAGTAACCAGTAGTTCTGTATGGATGGATAATAAATCCAATATGGGAAGGAGACTTTATCTTCCCACAGAATAAAGAGTGGTGGTGTTTTTGCTTGGCTAGTGCAGCCAAGAAGATTGCATTTGACAGTGACTGAAACAGCTTTCTTCAATCTTGACAAATCACATGCTAAAGAAGAAAAATATGTGTACTTTTTGGGAACAGAATCCTAGATTTGAACCAAAGGTAAAAGCAACAAAGTTGAAGGATGTGGTGTTTCTGCCTCATCAAAAGTGAGTTTGAGTTTTTAAATTTTGAATATACCTAACAATGGATGGAATGATTACCCCAATGTTTGTCACCCGCTCAGAGTATGCTTAGTAATGTCATATGTCTAAGTATCAAGTCTATCTCGACATATTTACACCAATTTATATGTACTTCAACTAATATGATGCAGCATATATTTAGCATCTTAATATATAACTACAACAATTTAAAGCCATGAACTAACCCAAAAATGTTGTTGCCAATGAAAAAGATGAGACGGAGACCCTAGGTACCCACATACCCAAGTTTCAACGAAAAGAGATCTTGTTATGCATGGATTGATTCTATGAGAGAATAGCACCATTGAAAGTATTAAGAAATAGTTTCCATCTTTTATAAAGTGCCACTGCAAAGTTATACATCAAAGAATCTTTTGGAGAATGCGTTAGCCATTATAATTCTTCTCAGTATTTTTTCCGAACAATTCGATCAACTTCAGAATACTAGCAGTGTATTTGAAATAGTTTTCCAATATCTTAAAATTGACTTTAACAAATTTAATCAAAAATTTTTCGTATCTTGTTAAAAAAAAAAAACAAATTAAGCAGAATTTTGAAAATTTTTTAATTTTAAAGAAACCTCAGAAGCATTTTCAACTTTCAAGTGCTCTTTGAGAAAACATTTAACTACTATTTTCTTTTCCCAAAGGACTTGTTGAAAAAACGATTCCCCTAAAAATGTTTATCCTAAAGCTATCCTGAAGACACTCAAATCTATAACTATAACACCTCGTGTTCAGCTCCAACATAAGAAAAACTTTGCCTTGGCGTGTGAAATTCCAGCAATTGAAACAAATCCCAGAAAGACATCCCAAAAGCAACTAAAGAAGGTGCCTTCCATCTATGCAGATTTGAAGATAAAGCTGAAATGGATGGTTGGAGCATCTTGTTAAAGACCAAAACATTGTTAGGGAAATTTTTTTATATGCACGCACTCAAGTGGTTTTAGTAGGCTGTCTAGTGGTCCGATGTGCAAGGCATGTTAATAAGTCTAAATCAGGAGGCACAAGAAAGCAATGTCTGCCATCTTCTAACAATTCTGGATCAACCAAATACTTTTTTGTTGATTTTCTGATATAAAATAGATAATCAAAGAAAATACGATCGCTAAGCAATCAACAACGATGAATACATTCTCTCAAAAAAAAAAAAAACAACGATGAATACACTACTTACAAAATTGAATTTTATTTGAAGTAATAAACAATGAAAGATGTAAACAATTCAAAGAAATTTGAAATAGACAAGAGAGTCCTCTCCATGTTTATATGGCAGCAGGACAATACTCATTTAGATAGCATTGACAAAATCTTAAGGTCTCTGTGTTATCATTAATTTATATCATATGATGATTCAATATCTTGTATTCATTCATACATTGACCTTGCTCTAACACAAATTGCTTAAATATTTTTTTTCTTTTGCATCCACGAGTATTAGGACCCTAGATTGTTAGAAAACTTGTAGGATTGCGGTATCCTAGGTAAATGGACACTATGGGCTAAAACCCATTCTCCTAAAGTCCCTGAATGACCACAATCCATGGTGGTTAATTTCTTCAATTACATTGAACTAAATACAATGAAGTTTTGGCCTAAGATGAAAGCACATCTGTAAGTATAGTAGCAAATCGGTGTAATGAGGTGGAAACTTGTGAAAATGTTTCTCAATATAGAAGAAGAACTAGACACCAAAATTTTTTAGGAAAAATGGGAACAGCATACGGTAAATTCATTGCAGAACTTTAGTAATCTATTTGACTCTGATAAAAGTAAGACGATAATATTAACTGAAATCATGTAGATAAAGATTATAACTCATCAATGGGTTTAGAGAAGTACGTGAAACCTATTAGTGAAGTAGTCAATGAAAAGTCATTGCTTCCTCCCCCTTCCTTTCTTGGTTGGCTGTGCATCAACCTGTTCTTTGCCCGTCACTTCTGATATATCCACTTCACAAAAGAGAAAAAGGCAAAAATATAAGAGAATTCCAATCAGTAGAACTGAGTGCACATTAGTTATACATGTTGGAGCATTCATATGCTGCCATCCTGGATATATCAAAAAGATGGTCCATGGATGCTAGGTGCATTTTTGGATCATAGTTGGAGTGAGAACTACAGGCACACCATGAACCATTTTGGCGAATTTTAGACAGTTGGCAAGCAGGTCTATGTTCATTCACGGACACAAGACAGTAAAACTGCATTCAGAAGGGAAGTGAACTCATCCTTCAAGTATATGGATATGGGACTTTCATGCAATTAGAGAATTTATAGTTTACGTCATCCAAATAGAACAAGGATTCAAATCTTAACAAAATTTGAGTAAAAAATCATGTGATTAATAACTGGTTATTTGTTTGTTATTCAACAGAATATTCAGATGCTCCATTAATAAAGAGAAATTCAAAGAATAATACCATCAGGGCCCCGGGCCATCAGAGTGAAGAATATGTTATTGAGTTTTTCCATCTTCTTGGCATCCTGTGCCTGGTCTGTCTTGAACTTGAGACACTGGAGAATAGGGGGGAAAAGAAAAAAGGGAAATTAGTAGATCTTATGCTTCTAAAAAAAGATAAAAATTACTATCCTGATGAGGATACTGTTTTTTTTTTAAGATAAGAGACAGAATATATTAAAAAAAACTTGAAAGAGGAGGGGGGAACAACCTAGATGCCGGGGGTAGAGGGAACCCACCCAAGAAAAACTAAATCAAAAGGGCCTTCCAATCATTTACAATCTTGATGATGATAAGGATTCAACATAGAACCTTATGCCAATTGGTTAACTTCCAGAGCTTCATTTCAATACAAAATCGTTTCATTGTCTGGGTTTATCATGAGGGTACGTGGTTGCATAAAATGATTATGAATGATGATGATCATAATCTTCTACAGCGCTAGAATGATGAAGTGATATCTTCAGTCAATATAATGAAATGAACTGATAAAATTGGTGAAAATTTTGGTTCAGACTAGTGACTAAATATAATTGTACAAGTCCTGATTTATAGATTAATAGCTCGTGGTTGCATAAAATAGTGGCATCCAAATTATATAACGATAAAGCAGAGTTTCAGAGAAGCATAGATTGAACGAAAACTGGATCACGAGTCTACTTAGGTATAGGAGCATCAAAGACTCAAACGCATCTTCAAACATTGGCGTATAATATCCATAAGGCCAAGAGTTTGCCACGTGAACCACATAGCCATGCATATAGTTGGAAGTCAATAATCAAAATTCCCACCCTGATCACTAATCAGGAAAACACACGACGTTAATGAAGAATACAACAAATAATTCCTCACCTCACGGTTATCAGTGACCTTAAGAACCAGTTTCCCATCGCAGTGCCGATACTTTATGTTGTACCGCGTCTATATTCCCAGTTGGATTGAAAAGGAAAACGGTGGTAGAAGTTAGAATTAGCCAAAATATGACGAAAGCGGCAATAAAGGAAACATACGAATAAACTGTTAGATCGCTATCGCAAGTAGTCACAGAAACCAAAATAGTCAGATTGAAATTAAAATTTTAGTCGATGAATTAGAACGCCCTTCACAATTGACTAAGCTCAATTCATACCATTCAAATCCGTGGCGCTGATTTGCTCAGTTACATGTAATTCAGCAGTAAAGAAGGGGATTGAAGAATGAAAATACAGCAATGCGATCGATTTTCTCATCTCGTGACATCAATTTCTCAGTAATCAAACAGAAAACGATATCTAGGGTATCGAATTTCGAACGAATGACTTACTGAATTGGGATCGGAACGGAACAGCTGCACAGAACGCTCGACGAATTCATCCCACGAGGTAATGTAGACCATGGCTCGGCAGCAGGCGCGACACAGAGAGAGAGCTTGTGAATTTTTGCGTATAGAGAGGTGAAACCAATATCGCTCGCTTCGTTACTCTTACTGTGGTGTGAGTAACACCTGAACATAAACCCGTCCCGCGTGCCGCGTGCGTGCGAATGGCACCAGCGCCAGATGAAAATGTTGCAAGATAACATACCGCTAATTAGGATATTCGACCGGTTAAATTTAGTTCAAATTGTCATCAAAATTTTAAACACTTACGTAAATATCAATATCACCACGCAAGATGGAACCTCAGGAATAGAATTTCTTTCCTTCTCATTTATTAAGATCTAGGATTATCAACAAATATGTGGATTAGAATTTATAGCGTAATATATGTATATATTTCGAGTTGTCGTAAATAAAATATAAACCCTTATTCATGCAATCGAAAATTTAGGATATGGCTTAGAATTTTGTAAATTACGAAGAAATTTTAATTTTCATTATATTTTCTGGAGTGCTCCTTTGGGAATATGTCGGTAAATTTTTTTTTTCTCTCCATGTTTCTTATTTCTCAACGCCCAAAGGAAAGTGGGTTCAAATTCAAATATTTGTTGAGTTTGTAAGTAGTGCAAACAAAGTCTTGGTTAGAGAAATGGGTCATGTACATGCTATATAGAGAAAGACAATTATCTCTATTGGTATGAGGCGTTTTGGGTGGAATAAAAAATAAAGCCGCGAGGACTATGCCCAAAACGGAGATATATAGGGTACGAATAGTACCATTATCCTTAATAATATTGGCAAAGTATAGTGAGAATACGTGAACCAATTACATAGAGTTGAAGAAAATCATAAACAAAACAAAAAAAACTTCCCTCATGAAGATATATTAGGTCACATCTTCCTATTTTTTCTCTCTTTTGCTGATTACATCTTGTTTTTTCAAATCTATTACATATTTTTTACTGTATCTCTTCCATACTATTTCAAAAATAATATTCTTTCATTGTTACCAAAAAATCTAATATTTTTCTTCGTGCATCAAACAAAACTTCAGGCTGTAAAAATACATCAAACAAAGCCTTGGTGGAAAATGGGGATGTGTTATGGTGTTGGTGTTGTTTGTGTTTTGACACCTATGGGCATCTAATATTATATAATATTTATAATAGTTTCGTCTTTCTTGACATATATTTGTTTATTGCACGACATGTATTCTTGTTGATGATCGACTTTTACGTTATTGGAGGTCAAGAAGGTGATGTTATTATGGCAAAACCTGGATCCCTTACAATAGAAACAATAATGAAAACAACCACAACCACAACCACAATTAGGAGGATTGCTTTATGGACAGCTCAAGAATAAAGCCCCAACAATAATAGAGCCCATCACAAATAGAAGCATTAATGACGGTAATACTATTTTGGGGAGTTCTTTGCAAACGAATAATCATCATCATGTCAAAGCGAGCATAGCTTAGTGATAATTGATATATATCTTCAACCATGAGATTGTTGTGAGTTTGAAACCTCTCCATTCCCTCATTTTATACTAAAAAAAAACCAATAATCATCATCATGAGTAAGAGTAGTCCATAATTAGATGCAACATGACCTCCGAAAGATCAGACCTGAAGGAGCCACCAATTATAGGTCCCAACTTCTTGGACTTGAAACCATCCACAGGAATATCGAACATCTTCCCCAGCTCTACTGATTTCTTGATAAAATCGTTAGGAATAATAGTTGGCTACATGAAAGTCCCTCCCCCAAGTAAAAAAAAAACCTCCAGCTGACCCGAAAAGCATATAAGAGTAACCAACCAAAAACGCATCCACCCGCCCATTTAAATTAGAAACATCAGTTGAAAAGGAGAAGATCTATCAACGAGGAGATTGGGGTGGAGCAATTTGAAAGTTGCAAAGCGGTAGAGTACAAATGAACTGAAAATGGAAGAATGGAGATGGGGAGATGGGGAGATGGGGAAATGGGAACAATACATTTTTTATCTTCACATATAGGAAAGGCAAATAGTAGCCGTTGTAACTGTAACAGCATAAATCTATCAAAAGCAAGTATAGTTTAACGGTAATTGACATATATCTCAAGTCGAGAGGTTGTAAGTCCGATCCCTCACTCCCGCATGTTATACTAAAAAATACAGAAATCGAAGGAGACATAATGTGTCCAAAACAGATAATTCCAAAACTAATTACCCAAATCTCAGAGTTCCCATGAGAAGAAAAATAAAATCAGACCATAATCGGAAATCAGAAATAATTGATATTGTAACTATTGTTCATCATGCTTATTATTATTATTATTATTATTATTATTATTATTATTTGCGGCTAAAATTCGATCAAATAAAATATTTTTATAATTGAATTGAAATTTGAAATAATGCCTGACCTAAGGGGGAAAAGAACGATTGGAGTCTGGAGTGGAGGGTATGTGAAGGGCCCTTGGATTATACTGTCAATTTTCCATCCTAGAAATAGGAAGAGCCCATTCAATACGAGTGAGAGACGGTTTACAATTTTCTCTGAATACAAATAATCATATTTTTTTTCGAGTAATAATTGATCATAGTTAACTAGATAAGATACATATGTTTATCAATCACGAGCGATCAGAACCACCCATTTTACCTCAACTTCAAACCCATTTTAGAGAGTGCGTTTTGGTATAAATTTTGCTTATGAAAAGTGCAATTTTGGCTACAACACAAAAGATACTTTTGAAAATTTTAGAAGTTTTGATGAAACAATTACTATCCCCCACCCCTTTCATCCATCTCTTTTGAACTATCATCTAGTTTGTCTTACATCATGATAGCATAATCTTTTAAACAAATTCTACCTTATTACTGAATATTGGCATTATTACTAATAGGTACAATTAAAGAACTTGTGAAAAATGTAATTAGTTTTTTTTTTTTGAAATACCATGTAATAGTTTTAAATATTAGCATAATCAATTTCACAAACTTCGTTCCTATATATTAATTTTGGAGTTACAAAAATAGTTCAAAGAAATATGTATTTTTATATATAACATTATGTTTAAAATTTTATGAAAATGTCATAAATTGCAAACTAATCCACATAAAACTATTTTATAAACTGCAAGCATATGTAGGGGCGTATCCACGAGCTTCGGCTGCATCATAAGAGATTCTTCTGGTTCTCTGGTTGCCGCGACTTCAATCCGCGTTCCATTTCCGTTGTCGCCTCTTCTTGCAGAAATCAGATGCATCTTGGAGGGTCTGAAATTTGCAGCTGCTTCAAATTTCACCCATTTAGAAGTCGAATCTGATTCTTTGTTGGCAATTCAACTGATTCGAAATGAGATACACACAAGAGGAGATGAGCAAAATTGGGTGATGGAGATTCAAGCCCTAACCTGCTGCTTTGCCTTCATTTCCTTTTCCCATTCGTCCCGTCAATGCAATCGTGCTGCCCATGGTTTAGCAAAATGGGGGATCACTTCCCCTTCTGCCACATATGCTTGGCTGTTTAATTTCCCTACGTGGCTTTTAGATCTTGTTCAAAGAGACTTCCCTTCGAATTTTGCCCATGTGGCTTAATTTAATGAAATCACTTCTTAAAAAAAAAATTTATTTTTGTGACATTTTTAATAAATATATATTTATTTTATGTCATTTGATTTACCACATGTTGTATTAAAAAAAATAAAATGTCATTTGGAATAATTTTCATTTTAAAACTGTCGTCTTATTTCTATTTTCAATATTCATACTGTATTAAATGCCCCTCCCCATTCTTTTAGCATGATACAAACATTCTATGCCCCCATAGGTTATTTAATGAGATTGTCCCAATTCTTTCTTTATAAAAAAAAAAAGTTAAAAATACTTTAGTCCATGTACTTTCAAATTTGTAACAATTTAGTCATTGAATTTTAATATGTAACAATTTAGTCCTTGTAATTTAAAGTTGGTAACGATTTAATCCTTATCGTAAAATATTTTTTGTTAAGTTTCTTGTAGGTATAGATTGATAAACTTAAAAGAAACCAAATATGTTTATGAATTAGAAAGATTAAATTTCTATATGATAAAATGTGACACTTAATTTTAATCAAAAAAATTTTACGATAGGAATTAAATTGTTACAAATTTTAAACTACATAGACTAAATCATTACTTTATGAACTAAATTATTACTCTAGGGAAAGTACATAAACTAAATCGTTACAAACTGAAGTTTAGGGACTAAATTATTAACCTAAAAAATTGTACCTTATGGGTAAAAGTGAAGCAATTGGAAAATTTTGGTGGAATTTAACGAATTTCAATTGGTTAAGAACGTAAAATCAGTTCAAATGTTCGCCTCAACTAAAAAGATTGTGAAGCTCGGTCACACGAAGAGAAGAGAGATGAAATTAGGTTTTTTTCGAGAGAAGAAGGAAATTTGAAATTTATTAGGTTATTTGTTTAATTATAATTCGATTCGATTTTCAAACCTATAAAATAATGCAAGTTTCAATTTTATTTATTTCTTTTCTTAGAGGCAATTTATGGGATGTGCAATTGAACCACGCCACAGTTACATTGACGGTCTCATAGTCGCATTGGTCCATAAAAGGCAACCCTTCTCTCTCTCTTCCCATTGACTCATTCTTTATTCTTTCGTTACCAAGCCCACGCCCAGGGCTGGCTCCAAACTCCCACTCTCTCTCTCTAAAACCCGTTTCTTTCTCTCTGTTCTCCCCTCGCCGACGCTCGATTGCTGCGTTTTACTGCGTCTGCAATGTCCTCTGCTTCGCCACCTCCATATGGCTTCACTGAAACCTCCTTTCTATCGCGCGCCGGAGCCGCCTCCGGTTCCGTTTACGGCAGTTTACGGCCGTGGCGCCAGCTTTTCCAGCCGCTGTCGTCCTTCACCCGCCCTGCCTCCGTCGGCGAAGCGACCATTCGGAGTAAGCGCAATCTCAAGTACTTCCGCGTCAATTACACCTTCATCGTCCTTCTCATTCTCTTTCTCAGCCTCCTCTGGCACCCTGTTTCTTTGATTGTCTTCTTGATCGTCTTCGTTGCCTGGTTCTTTCTTTATTTCTCCCGGGACGAGCCCTTGGAGGTGTTTAACCGTGTCCTCGATGATCGAGTTGTCTTGGCTGTGCTTGGATTGGTCACGATTGTCGCCTTGGTTTTGACGGATGTATCGCTTAATGTATTCGTTTCGATTTTGATTGGGGTTTTTCTTGTTTCTCTACACGCCGCCTTTAGGGTTACTGAGGATTTGTATATGGACGAACAAGAAGTCGCCGATGGAGGATTGATTTCCGTTGTCGGCAGTCCGACTCGGGCAGGCTACAGCCGGGTCTAGGGAATTCACTGAATCATATTTTGGCTAGGTTACGAATCATGATCTTGCCTCGCTGCTTCCGTCATTCAAATGGTGATAGATCGCGCTCCACGATTCAAAATTCAAAGGAGCATAAAAGAACCAAGCGTTTCTCTCTAGTCATCGCTTGGAAATCCGGTTTGATACCACTGATTGATTTAGCAACGATTTTTTTATACCCCTTAAATTTCAGGGCTCTGCTTTAGTTCTCTATTCAATACGCTTGTACATGTAGTTTCAAATGACGTTAACGTTATACAGAGTTTTGCTTTTAGTTCGGATAAATCCTAGATTTCATCTTCACAATGCTTTCATTTGGGTGTGATTTTTGAGGAAGGGGCTTGTAATGTTTTGGTTTGGTGTGTTCTTTATTTTCGAAAGGAAGATATGGCAAATAGTGCATCTGAATTTTGGTTTTCAGTGTCTTGTAATTGTTAATGTATACCATCTCTGGCATTTCATGTCGTTTCCGAAGATTCTTTCTTTTCATCTAGTTAAATAATGTCTGGGTTTACTTATATATTCATATAAAACATGATTTCATATAATGCTGACTCTAAATTCAATTCCACCATTTGCTTTGTATTGTACAGTTAGTTGATTTTGATGATTCAAATTGATTGTTGAGGGTAGATAGTTTCCAGTCTATGGTTTGTAAGATGATTCAAATGATTTACTAATTTTAGACAGGATATTCTGAGCTGTAATCTGTAGGAAATTTGGCATAATCGTTTTTGTGTTTGTTAGGTTTTGAAACGCTTTGGTTTGACAATTTTTTATCAGATGTTCGGCTTGTTGTACTATACATCAGCAGAGTTTGGATGTGGATTAGAAGGCCAAGCATGGGGTGGCCCAGGATAGTAGCTGTATCATCTAGCATTTACATTTTTTTTTTCTTTTAAGTCAAAGCGTAGAACTTCTGATTCACTTGCCAAAGGATCCGACTTTATCCAACTTTCTGAGTCCCATGTGACAAAAGTTAAAGTGATAGTTATGCTTTTATCATGGATCCCAAGTGAAGTTGCTTGAATATATAGCTGGTTTTCACATGGTGATTGTCTTAGTTGTTCTGGGTCTTGATTTTTATGCCACATAAGCGGCTTGCACAGAAGCGGGTTGACTGTGAATACTTTGGGAGGACAATAACGAAGCTTTTTGTACCTAGCATTTTGAAAGATTGTTCATTACTCTTGTTTGCTTCTTTTCAATAAACTTGTAGAAGTTCAGATATTAGAATTTTCCTCGTATTCATGTGTCTGTGTTATGTTCAGTGGTATAACTGGTTTCTGTATGGTTATTGTCATATTTGCCGTTTTTGATTCTGATGCTACATTGGTTTGACATTGACATAGAAGTTGATTAGATTACTGTGAATACTTTCTGAGGGGACGATAAGTTAGTTCGGTAGGTGTGATTTTAGATTGTTTAGTAGAGTTATTTTCTTGGTGCTGATATAACTATAGTAGAGTCAAAATCAGCAGAGGCTAATCTATTTGAAACTTTTCTTGATTATTATCTATGCTAAGTAGAAGCAAAGTTATTATCTTTGAAGCTGTATTGACCTTAGAAGTATAGACACTTTAGTTTGGATACCATGTCTGTGTCCGACATATGTTGAACACTTTAATACACAGACATTTGTTGGACACTTTGAGACTCCGATACTTATTGGAACGTGCCACCATGTATGATACATGTGTTTGCGTCTTGTGCTTCTTAGCTGATTTTTACCTGTATTTAGTTCTTGAGGGATTGTGATGGTTTTTTTTTTTTTTCTTTTACCTTCTCTGATCTAGATTTAGCAGCTCTTGAATTTCGGCTGTGAAAGTTCTTTAGAACAACGGTATTTTTTAATTTTTTTCATTAGTTCTCTCATGGGCAGCAGACTAACATAAAAGGTTTTTTTTTGTTGGGAAGGTAAGAGGGAGAAGAAATGGGAATTTGGGTTTTTTTAGTACAATATGTGGGGTGAGGGATTTATCTCACAACCTTTTGTTGAAGATATATGTCAATTATCGTTGTATGCTTGCTTTGGCAATGAGAATCTCGGTTTGAGAGGCTAAAAGTTGACATGTGGTTCGATTCCAAACATTTTCTTTCCTCCTCGTTTAAGAAAATGAATTTTGTTAAGAATTGGTGCTGAAAATAGGAAAGAGTGTTTCACACCTCCAGTTTGATGCCAGTTATAACTATTTTATTTTATTTATAAATATTTCTAGCCTTTTCATTGTGGAGTGGCAATTATAATTATTTATACAACTGTTCATTGTACCTGATGGATGATTATAAAATTGTTAATCATATTGTACCACTACATAGAATAATTTCTATTTACATACACATTAAACCATCTTATTTAGTCTCCTTTGTTACTTATTTGGTTCTGTTGAAACTGTTGCCGAAGAAAAATGTTGTATTACCAAGCTTGTCCAATTCTAAAAATCTTTTAACTCAAGTATTGCTTAAAAAGTAACTACTGTTTTAGTTTTGATCTTAAATCTTCTATTCATGCAATGTAAAACCGCAAAGCTTTTGAATGTGCAAAAATGGAAATTAATAATGGAGCCTCAAAACCGACAGGTTTCCTACTTTTTGGCTCTAAAAAATAATAACTTTGGGACAATAATAAATGAGTAAGTTGAGAGATGGAGAGATGAAACTTTATTAGAATGATGAGGATAATTTGGCTATTCAAGTACATCTTTTAAGAGAGTAAAAGCAACTGCTGAGGGAACACACATTTTGAGAAAATTCATCACACACACACGTGGTTAAATAATTGAGATTGTCATTTGGTGGTGTGGGTGTATAAAGAATTTTGTTTGCGCATATGCCACTCCCATAGCTGCTACTCTCAATGTTTATCCTTAAATCCTATCTTACAGAATCTTAAATCTAAGAGGAACTTGGATTGATACAGTCATTAAAATTGAGCACCCAGAAAAGGATACTCAACTGTGTTTGAAGAAACACTGCAGGGCCTTTTCCGTGGCTTCGCAGCATCGGTCTGCTCTTACCCGCAATCACATCGAGGCTGCCAAAGCCATGATGGGCAGAGAGCAAACCTTGTGAAGGCCCTTTGATGCAGATTAATGCATGTATATGATATGAAGGCAGCAGCTTGAAGGAAGGTGAAGATCAAGAGAGTGGGATCTTTCTAGCATAGTAAAGAACCATGATGAAATCCTCTGCTGATGACCCGATCGATGCTGGGATCTTTTCGGAGGTTGATGCTGTTTGTAGCCACATGTCAACTAAACTATGCAAATCCAGTGTGGGAACTACTGGATGTCCCATACACTTGACTTCAACCTGCACAAATAACCATCAAGCTTAAGCTATAAAATGTAAACACGGTCCAATACTTCGATAAGTTTTTCATCTTATAAATTGCAGAAGTATAAGGATATCAACTATAAGCTAGAGAGATTGCAGAAATTTCATCTTAAGCTGTAGAGATTGCATAAATATGAAGACTAAAGTGGGAGTAAAGAGAAGCTCTTATAATTAGAATTTCAACTAAATTAAAGGATGGGTTTTTTCACCTCGGATTCGCTAGAAAGATCCAGCTTTCTCATTAGGTACTTCTGGACAAATGATACTGGCAAGTTTCCATCCCTGCAACAAAGACTAAAAAATATAACCAAATATACTTTGAGCTCCTAGTCAACATGGGTATTCCTCCAAACCCAAACGCAGAGAGACGAGCAAACAAGTGCGTAGAAGTTAGAACGGTTTTTAGCATCATAATATCGACATTGCTTCTAAGTATGTATACCAAGAATCCTCTTTTCTTGTGGATTTTGTTTATTAGACATCCAGACTACAGTGTCTAGTTTCAATATGAGAGACTTTAAGCAATAGGTGGAAGCTTACGATATACGATTGGTCATCCAATGACAATTAAATTGTCAATTGTGGCTCCTCCCTATTCTAAAATACAAGAAAACAAGGACTAAGTTTTCTCTTATTTCTTTTTGCAAATATCCTTACAAATATCCTTACAAAGAGATCGGTTCAGTTTCTGAAACCATCACGTGTTTATCTTTGCAAATTCGAGAAAGGCAACATCCGAGCATGGGAATACTTATTCTCTCTTTCAAAAACAATAACCATGCACAAGAGCTGGAGAAACTTGACCATGCACAAGAGCTGGAGAAACTTGGCAAATATATTTTTTAGATAGCTCCAATCTTTCAGAATTTTTTAATATCTACTCAGTAAAATTTGAAACAGGCACGAAAGATACTCATGTACACGGTATTATATGCTAATTAAATTACATGGCACCTGTGATAATGATAAACAGAGCCTATTGATATCAAACGAGGCTAAAAAGAACTCACTTTATTCTCAAATACCTAGCAGGAATTTGCGGCAATGGTGCATCTCCTTCCCTGAAACCAAAGTTGAGGCATAAGTACTTATTTATCACAATTTGTTAAGTATTATATTATTAGAGCATCTTGTAGGGATCCAAGTGTTGTATCTCACTGTTCAGAAGCTATGAGAGAAAGCCAGATCGGCCCAGCTCTTCTTTCATGCCGAGCACTGGTGGCATCCAACACAACCTGGGGTGTAATGCTGCAGTCCCCAAAAAGAGGTTCCCTTTTTTGGCGAACCCTACGCGATTTCTTAGGTCTTTCAGTTTCTGGAGATACCAGGTCTGTTCTAGTTTTTCCATTCTCACGTTTTTTCTTGCGTTTGCTTTCCCTATTTCTAGACTTGCTGGCCTGAGCTTCACTGCCATCAATATCTGCAGGCTCAACTTTAGCCTCGAATCCTTCTGAATTAGATTTGAAACATTTGCTCCTATTTGCAACTTCTACTAAATAATTTAAGGGTTTCCAGATATCCACGTTTCCTTTCAGTGAATCAACACCATTCTCCACTTCTTTCTTTCGCAAAGACATGGTAGATTTGGTAGGACTGGAATCCTGCACTAAGTCCATTATTAAGAGCAGTTATTATAAATAAACAGAAATTTCCCATAATGGGGAAAAAAAAGCCTTTGAACTTAGAGCATAAAACAGCTGGAACTCAGAAGAAGCAAAAAAGATAGGACTGTGTTGGCTTCCTTTACCAGCCTTTTATTCTGATTGAATTTGTCTGACGTCTCAAGGGAACTTGAGCTCTCTGAACGTTCTTCCGCGGAATCATCCTCCTTCTTCACACGCTTCTCATTTGGAACTTTTGGTGTTCGTAAAATAGCAGCAATTCTGACAGCAGCAGCTGCAGTTCTTTTTCCAGTCGTGGTAGCATGACTTGACACTCTAGGACTATTAACCACCAATGACGAAAGTGACCTTTCCTTTCTTCTAACTGGTGGTAGTATAACAGGAGCAACTTCAGGCGTTCTGACTTTTCTCCTTTTACTAGGGAAAATTCTGGACCTCAAATCTTCTAGATTGTGGTCTGGCCTGGTGATTAGATGCTCAAGATAAATGCTCAACAAATTATTATTTCTTACTAAAAACTCTATATTATGAGAATACGAGAAAAAAACGAATATCGAAGCACCAAAAACAACTACAAAATAGCACACTCACAGATCAGTATTCAAAGTCCCAAGCAACTATTATCACAAATAAAGACCGAGAGGGAATTGTTGACAGGACATTGCGTTATGCAGTATAAATCTTACCTTAATTTCTCCAGTGGGACACAGCCAAGGTCGATGTTACATACTGGACAGCTTTCTAGTTCTTCATCTGAAATCTTATCATATATGCACTTCCTGCAAACTGGATAATTTTTTACAACTACAGTGATTAAATCCAGAAATTAAGTCATTGACATTCATTTGACTGATATTAGCCAGAAAAAGAAAGATCAAAACTATTCATCTTTGTTACGTATATGCCACATATTGCCATCTTAATTGGAAAGCTAATATGCTATTTAACAAAGGTACATAAATAGAATTTTTAACCATTTAAGAAAAGTTTAGTCCTTTCTGTAGAAACTCTAAACTTCCTGTCCAATTTTTATTTCTAACTTCAAGCTATATTATGCCACACAAGAAGTATATATATATTCATATTTATGCAAGTATTCAAACGCCATTCTATAAATCTTCCACTAAATTAAAAATTTTGCTCAGCCACTTGAAAAAGCACGAGCCTTTTGCCACCCACAAACTGTATTATTATACTGCCAAATTCATATAATCTGTTACACTATACGTAAACCACACCAAATCCACAGCAACTCTGAGGTCACATACGTGTGAATTTCCAGACATAATCAAGCTATAAAATATATGAAACGAAAAGAAATTGAAACAGTACTGAACCGAATAAAAAAGAAAGCCAAATGATACCTTATACTAATTGTTCACGGGAAACACAAAATTTGACAATAATTTAACACTAAAAAACAAAGATGATGATGCAACAAATTTTATAGAATGGAGTCAATGGCCAAGAACACTTGAAAAATCCATCCAATCCCAAGAACAAAAGGAGCAAACTCCCAAATGAAGAGAAAACCTCTCTACAAACACTGTTCTATTCAATAATATGCCCCAAAAGCTTACTATTACAAATGAAACAGGCTATTCATAGCCTTACAATACAACGAAAAATAGTAATCAACAAACTAATTACCCTAAAACCAATTACTTAGCTAAACGAAAACATAATCTAATATAATATTATCCTTATCCAAGACTTCAAATAACAGGCCAGGATCGAAAAGAGTCAAAGAATGGCAGAAGAAAATGCAGAGGAAAAAAGAATACTGGGAAGATTGTAGAAGGCAATAAATTGAAGGAATGGAGATGAAGAAGTGACTCACACGTGTGAAGGCATTCGGATACGGTGGTGGCTTCTTTCAAGAGCTTATGACATAGAGGGCAAGTTATGCATGCGGCAATCGCCTCCCTCTTGACTTTAACGACCTGATTCGCCATCGCCCAAAAATCCCAAATCCTCACCCACGTCGATGAACCCTGCATGCTACCGGCATTTGTTGGTAGCCAAAATTTACGTCCATTTTTCTCACAGAGGCATCGCCATTAGAGCCGCGAAAATTGGGGAGCAAAGAAAAGGGGGCAACGGCAAAACCCAGTTAAAAGAGGGGGGCGAAGATCAGAAAAAAGGGAGCATTTTGAAGAGAAAGATGTATGGGGGGGAGGATTTGGGAAATGGGGTAAGAGAAATTGAAGGGGATTTGACGTGGGGTTTTGCTGGATTTGAAGAGATTGAAGAGAATTGATCTGGAATCGATGGAGGAATGAGAGAAGGAGGCTTTGTTTCTTTGAAAGGAGCATGAACCGAGAGGAGAGGTTTTTTTTTGGGTAAAAATGAATTGCATTTATTTCTGTTTTTCACGTTTTCATTTCATTCGTTGGAGAGCCGAAAAGAAAAAGAAAGAAAAGAAAGGAGTTGTGAGAGAGAGGGTCAACTAAAGCAGGTGGGACTGGGAGAGTGAATTGTATTTTGTATGCAAATGCGCAGAAGATAAACCACAGTTCTTCAATGCTTAAAAACAACACCCTTGTCTTTATCTTTTATCTTTGCCTTCCTTCCACTTCCATTTCGAGTCGAAAAATAAGGTCAAAAGATTCAACTTTTTCCTCTTATATTCAATGTAAATTCAATTTTTTAGAGGGTTAACGGATGGGAATCTACTAAATCCCAATTGTGTCTATATGGGTGAGAGAGTTTTTTTTTTTTTTTTAAATTTATAGTTGAATAAACTTAAGTTTAGAGATTTGAACTTGCAACTCAAGGAAAGGACGAAAGAGTAGGTATTTTACTCATGAACTATGCTCGTGTTAGCTTAACAGTCAACACTGTACCATAGACTTGTATTCTTTAGTTGGAATAAGAAGTTGTCCCTTGCTAACATCTCCAACGTCTAAAAAAAATCTTTTGAATAATAGTAAAGTCAACTGTTTTTAGTTAAAAAAAACATGTGAGGATTGGTGGAAATTTGAACCAATCTTCTGGTCAATGATATATACTTTCATCAATTGAAGCTACACCACAATTTTTGGTGGCTTTGATAGCTTTTTAAAGTAGACTGTTAGAACAAGCAGCGCTCTTATGCCAAGAGAACTCAATTTACATGGTAAGAGGTAAGAGTTAATATATAAAAATTGTATTTTATTTAATTAAATCCTAAACAAAATGCAAATCTAGCATAATTAGAATTACAAGTTTGGTCCACCATTTAGGGCTCTATCTAATAACTCATTGAACTTTCAATTTTTGTCGATTAAGTTCTTTGAACTTTAAAAAATAATGTTTAATAAATGAATGAACTTTCAATTTTGTATTTAATTAATTCTTGATTTTTTTTATTCAATATCATGTGAGGGCGAGGATTTAAACTTTCGATTTTTTGATCGACAAAAGCTACGTTCCTATTGAATTTTTAATTTTGTGCAATAAGCTCCTAACCTATAAAATATATATATATATTTTTAAAAATTCATATACTATCCGACTATTAGTCTCTAACTTTTCAATTTGTATTTAATAGGTTAGAGACTAATAATTACAAAATAAATAAAAATATCACAAAAGCAAAAAAAAAAAAAATTGGTAAGCATAGGTAAAATTAAAACACATTAACTGATGTATATAGAAAAAATATATATGAGAATAGTATTTCAATCTCCTAACTTCGAAGAAGAAGGAGATGACATTTACTAATTAACCGTGAGTTTAAATCTCCACTCCTATGTATTATACTAAAAAATAATAGACGATATTTAATCATTTACTTATGTTAAGAAATATTTATCACGTAAAATAAAAATACATCCAATCGGATAATGAATGATTTAGGTACGATTTTCTCTGGAAAACAAGACTATGCTTTCATTTAAAGAAAAAATGGTTGAGATGAAAAAGGAAAGATTATGAAATTTATCGAGAGATTTAGGAAGTTTAATGATATGGAGAGTAATTGGATAAGGAAGCGAGGGAAAGCATCCAAAAATTATTATAAATTTATAAATTTATAATTTATAATGCAACAATGGGTCATGGTGGTCGCTCCGTACAAGGATTTGATGGGGTTTCCCCAACGCTACATTTTTATCCAACCAAACGGAGCTTCCAACTTCCATCCTATTTTTCCATGTGGGAATCTCTATTTTTTTATTCATATTTTGTTAACGTACTTGATGTAATTAAATTTATGGGGGATTATAAGATTATAATAAATTTTTTTTAAGGATAATAGTAATGCAACGACTTTTCTTTGGTTTGAACCAAAAAAATTTGGTACAATTGTTTTCAACTATATGACCATGGATCATTTCTCGTCTTATCCAATGTAGGATTTTGTTTGTATTTTTCTTATATATTCAACATTTTCGATCAAAATGATCGTAAATTTGAATCTCGATCCGATAAAAAGAAAAAAGAAAGTCATAATCATATAACTAGAATACATTGCGGCAGATTTCTCAAGGAAAAAAAAAAGATTAATATAAAATTTTTTAAAATGGCTTTCCACGTGTTAGAGGAGAGATAATGTAGATGATTGCTTGGCAGGGAGGGTCACTAAGATGTTTTTACCAATTAAATATTCCATTTTTGAATCTTGTGTTTGGGTGATAAATAAATATACAATTAAAAGGTCATTTGGAAAGAGAAAGGGAGACATTGCCAACCATTTAATCCTCTAATTTCTAAATAATTTAAACTTATAACTAATTGTGTTATTATTCAACATTCTATTATTACAAGTTTATATTCATATGATTTGTGAACAGAATTCAAGTGATATCTAGGGATGTTCGTGGGGCGAGACGTGGATGGGAAAGGCTTCCCCGTCCCCATCCTCACCCTCCATTTAATTCCCCATCTCCGTTAAATTTCCCACGAAATTTCACGGGGATCGGGTTCCCATGAGGATTTTTTTCTCGTTTATTTGTTTACTTTTAAAATTATTTCTCAATTAAATATTTTTCCTAAGAAAAATTCTAGTTAATTAATTAATTTTTAACCATAAAAACTTTATTTACATGGTCTAATTCTCCCCTATATATTTGGTGGGTATAGAAGAATATGATTTTATTAGTATATAAGTATAGAAAGAATAATAAAATTCTTTTAGTGTATATATATATTAAAAAAATGTGACGTGGGGCGGGAAACGGGGAACAGGGACGGAGGATGCACCGTCCCCGTCCCCATTTAGGTAACGGGAAAAAAACTTTCTCCATCCCTGTCCCGTGGGGAATTTAAACCGGGATTCCCCGCCCTATGTAGACGGGTCCCCATGAGGATGGGGCCCGGTTGGGAAAATGAACATCTCTAGTGATATCAGCCCAAATCTCCACCCCATTGTACTTAAAAGTTTGATTTTATATATTATTGTTTTTAATTATAAATGGCTCTAAAAAGTAATATTTAGTATCATGATATTATTTGACTTATTAAATTGATTTTACATCAGATAATTACCAAAATATATTTATTTGTCTGTGAAGGAATATGTTATAGTAAGAGGAGCAGAGTGAAAAGTGAAAGTATAACTGGTTCAATGTTTTATTTAGTAACTTATTTTGTATCGTTTTACCAGTTGAGCAATGCGTTGAAGAAAAAAATGTTACAACAATGTACTTATACTACTATTTGGCTCCGGTCCAAAGGGCCAAGAAAATTCAAAAGAACTGAGAGCAAATGAGTTCAAACTTTATGGTAGCTATCTAATGTAGTACGAAAAAAGACATCGTATTTAGAATTATTTGATATTCATTTTCCAATAATAATTGTACATGAAAAAATACAAAAAGGAAAACAAGAAATGGTAAGCTATAGCTTCCATATACAATATATGCCTGGAAAACCTCAACTCGGTATCAAGTTATAAATTTCCTAATAACATATCATAGAGGTATAACTTGTTCCATATCCTCTCCAACAGACTTCCAAGAATCATTCTGTACTCGAGTTGAGTTCATAATTTCTCAAAACCGTGGAAACAATTTATGAGCATAGCGTTCAAGATTCAACGAGACCTTTGTACCGTGCATACGAACTTAGCGTCAAGTAAATGGATGCACAAACTATTCCTGTGACGATGACCACCTAAATTCATGGAAATGAAAACATCAACACTGCATCTTCAGAAGACAGTTTCAAAAAAATTAGAGTTTCTGATATGATTTTCATACCCATTTGAATACGTGTTCATGATCTTCCTTCCAGGTATACGGGATATTCATTCCAAATATTGCAGTCACTAAAGAATAAATAGACAAACAAACAGTCCCAGAGCTCAAAAAGAGTTCTAGCTGCCACATAGAACATTACATTTCTGAGAATTGAAAAGACATGATACAGTTCTTGCACGTGAATTTTTTGTGGTCAGATATCAATCAAGTGAACAATCTGGCCACTTCAATAGCTAATAGATCCAAGGTTTTAGGTGAAGAGACAGAAAATTAAATGGAATTAGATTGATTTAGGCCTTGGAAATAGTACCTGAATAAGTTGATTCCTGTGGTTGTCAAGCTGCAACAGATGACACAGCATTTGATTCAGAGACATGAGTAGATTTTAAATTTTCAACATCGGCAAGTAAAAATCACAAAAAAAAGTAGCTTTAATGGCATGGGACAGTCTTAAAAAGTAGTCAGCAATGTTGGAAAGGTTACCTGAATGTTGATGTAATCCTCTGTGTCATCGATGTACTCTCGAAGCTGGTAAGTGAAGATAATTTCAAAATACACAAAAATCCCACATAATCAGAAAGTTGTATTTCATATGCCGTATGCAAAATATCATATAAGAATAGCAATTACAGTTAACACACGCTTGAAGTTTGATTCATACCGTGATTAATTTGTTTAATGTACTTTCTATCTGCATAAAATAAGCCTGCAGGACATTCAGTATGAAGCTCGATTAGATCTTAATTTACAAAAATCTCAAAACGTTGGATGTTATATCATGTTAAAGGACAACGATGATGCCTCGAGTAGCATTTCAAGTTCCTCAACATCGTTTTCTCCTCGGATTGTAGCTAAACTTGCTCTACTGGTTTTTGACATCTTTGAATAATAGTCTTTAGGAGAAGCAAGTAACCAATTTGGAGTCCCGGAGCCACTTTCAGGGGTGTACATTCCGGCTACTTTTCGTGACAAGTAAAGTTCCGCCATATCGTCGTCATCATCCAGAAGTTGTTCAAGTTCATCCCTAACCTGGATCGAGAATGATATAACATCATCACCAAGAAGCTAAAGAAATTGCAGGAGGAAAATATATCAGTTGCCCACTATTGGTATCTTTACATATTCTGTTCATTTGGCAAGCAACAATAGGAGATAGATTAACCCGCCCAATCCAAGAATTGAATCTTCCAAGTGGATTTTTGGCACTTGTGTGGTTCTTGAGGGGACTAGTTGGCTTATATTTATGTCAAGAATGATCAGTTACTGTGTTTCCTTTTAGCTCATTTTGTCTCTATTAAACTAAGATAATATTTACAAATGTGGCAATCGGATATTACTTGCAAGGAGAAAGGTGAGTTACAAGCTGGTCGTTTACTGAATGTTTTAGAAGTAAATATCGAGGAAAAAAATTTGTTAGGATCCTGAATACACTGAACAAAACTAGATAACTATATTGCAATATTACAGGGATAGTTACAATATCAAAAGCCTGTCGAGAGGGCTATCTCTCTCCCAAAGAACTATGTTAAGTTCTCCGCCATAAACTATTTCCCAAAAGATACCCCTATCCCTACTACCTCTATTTATAATAAACTCACCACTAACTAATTACCATAACACCCCTAACTAATATAGTAATAGGTATTACCAAACTATCCCCATTAGGACTCTCACAAAATCCTCAAAATCGAATTAATATAGCTTGGGTAGCAAGGACTTGTAAACCAAACAGTTTGAATTGAAGATTCAGAACAATGAACACTCAAAAAAAAAGTGTAATAAAAAACTACTCTATTTTATGAAGTTGTCTTCTTCTACTGAAAATTGAATTTCATATTCGAACTCATAAACAAGAAGCAACCATGATGTTGAACCTATATACCATCTAGAGTAGAACAATTCCAAATCTGGTCGAAGCTAGTGCAATGCAACTTCTTTTGGCTGTTAGTTTGTATATCTCCTTAAGTTGTAGTATTTGGAGGGTATATCAGTTGAAGACACGAGAGCAGTGAAAGTAAAGTAGGGCTCATAATCTCATACTGCATATTATAGATGCCACGGAAAATTGACTACCTTTTGCACCCGATTGGTCAACCTTGTCATTGCACTCTTCAGTTTGCGCACTCGGTCCAAGTTACGACTGCTAATCTGCATATAAATGCCAAATTTCTTGGATTAGAAAGAAGGGGGACTAATTGCAAATCAGGTAAACATATTAATTGATTAGGTTCCTAATTCAGATCAAACTCTAGATGGAGGTAGTAAACATTTGTAACAGTTCATTTGAAGGAAAACCATTTTATAATATATTTTAAGTGTTACAAGAACATCATAAGACCGATTACTCGCCAAGAAGGATATATGAACCTCTTTAGTTGGATTTTTCAGCATCATAATTATGAATGTAGCATTTCTCACTTTGATAAGGTTTATCACCAAAAGTTTGCACTGGCTCTGATTACATGTATGACTTGTCCATTTCACATGTCCCATCCATAATAATAAAACTAAAGTAGAATAATGAAAGAGAATAGAATCATGTCACTCTTTCTACACTCTTTCCATCACTATCTTGCTAAAAGAGAAATCAATCATAAACATTTTTTCAGAATCTGATACCCTATCCACATTTCAAGTTTTTACTAGAAAGTAAATATGATACGAACTGTTAAGGATGAATAAACCACCACTCAACCCAAAAGCTTAAGCTAATGAGTTTGGTAAATTTAATTCATTTATTGGATATCTAACACGAGTCACTATACACATAAAAGCACCTTGAAGATAATTATCTCGATGAAAAGGTTGTATTTCTTTTGATGGAAATAAATTTAAGCTGAACACTTCGGTGCATCTAACCCACTAATAAACTGACCAGTTCCAATTAATCATAAACCCTTGAGAACTTGAGCTGCAGGAGGAAGTTAAATGACAGAAATTCAACAAAAACATGCGACGATGCTCTTTAACTAGTAAAGGAAAGAAGACAGTTCAGAACATATCAATGAAAGCTTATCTCTGTTTCATTGATATAACTAATGTTTAAGAAGTAAAAGGATCCAATTGCTAGAACAAATCAACCAAACAAGTTTCACCTTGGAGGTCAGTTCATCTAAAGCAGGATATGTATCAGTCTCTAGTTCTCTTGTACGTGCATCAAGAAAACTACAAATTGCTTCTAGTGCAACCTCCAAGGCACGGAACTCAAATGGAAACTCTGCATCAAATGACAAAACTTAGAAGCAAAAAAAAGAAGAAGAAGAAGAAGAAGAAGAAGAAATACTTAAGCTACTATGAACAATATTTCGAATATTACAAGCAATAATTATCAGTTCCAAAAACAAAATGACATCATTGAAGACGAGGGGAAAATGCAAAAAGACAATATTTCACCAAGCTGTACCATTTTCAGCCAACTCATTCTGGGTGGTAGGGGGCTCTTCTTCTTCACCTTGTCCTTGGTAAATGGAACTTGTAGAAGGCAACCGTCTCTGCAGTTCTTCAACGATTGGAACTACATTTTCATCCATTGGATCTCTAAGCAGCACCTAACAGAAAATAATAATAATAATAATAAATTAATCATCCTCAAAATTTACAGACAAATAATTAAAAACTGAACATTGTAAAAGTTGATCCTGCAAACTGCGAAGTGAAGAGGGCGAATTGCCCCCTATTGAAGAATCATATGGTACAGATAAATAAAGCTCTATATCTACTATATATGGTATTTTTTACTAAGGGTCAATACTTATTTTAGTTTTCCACTCTTAGATTTTGGTTTGTCGAACGTAGCATATTTGTCAATGTGCATCCTGTAAACAGTATTGACACGCAAATACTTCCATTAAGATGGCCAACTTGAAACACTTTCAGGGACTCTATTAAACCCAAATAGGACTTTGGAAAAAAAAAAAAAAAAAACCCCCCACCATCAAATAAACAGATGAAAACCAATTAGCCTAAAGAAACCCAAGAAATTAAAGAGAATTTTAAACAATAGACAATTAATTAGTCAAGAAAAGGATAAACAAACTATTACCTCGTCTGCCGTGATAATTGACTTGATGTGCTGGACCAAATCAACAAATTAGTGAAGCAACAAAAAAAAATTAATGATGTAACTCAAGGAAGTTAGATTAGCAGAATTTTACAATTTTACCTCCAAATTGAGAACAATCACTCTTTCTCTGCCCAAGATAGTGGAAGGATACGATAAGAGAGGATCAAGAAGCCGAAGATCTCTGGCATGAATCTGAACCCTTTGCATAATCGCATACTTATCGACGTCCAAAACAGTACTCCTCCCTTCATGGTCCAGCGAAACCCAGCTCCTGGAAATTACAGTCTTCTTCTTCGTCTTCTTCTTCACCGAAGCCTGAGATTCCACCGGGATCAGAAACGCATCTCCAGCCATCTCTCAACCAACTGCTAAGATTTCACAAACATTGCTCTTCTTCGAGAACCAATGCCTGCTGAAGACAAGTCATGTGTAAATCTGGGCGTGGCGCGTGGTTGATTAAAGCAGGAACTCGAGTAAAAAACAACATCAAAAAGAGCTTTCCATAAAAATAAAAAAATTAGAAGAAGAAATTTAAGATGAATCAATGGAGTTTTAGGCGCTGAGATTTGAGGGGGAAGAGACAGAGTTTGGTGGGTTCGGTTGTGAATGGATTTTTGCATGGGCACCACAGTGGGGGCGACGAGTAGGCTGGTGCTGGACTGCAACTCTGCAAACTTCATTACTGCAGCTTCTTCCCCACTCGCGCCAAAAGCGCGTGGTTTCACGCTCCTTCTTCTGGTGATGGACATTCCGCGAGACAGGTGTGGGATGGGATCTTATCGTAATACTCTTAGCCAGTCATGGTTCAAAATCTCGAAAGCCTCAGACATGTTCGATACGGATATATGGGGGAAAAGTCGATTATCCTCCCATGTCAACAAAATGTTCATATATCTTTTTTCTTTTTTTCCCTCTTCTTCTTTTAAGATTATTTTATTTTCATCATCTTCCAACTATAACACTACGGTCTATAATTTCTCATAAACTTGATGATTGTAATCTTAGTCTGTTCAATAAAACATTTGCATTTTAATATTGTATAAAGTATAACTAATAAGATTTCGAATTTGTTTTATTGATAATTTCTAATCCAATCTAGTCGTTGGTTACACAATTGAACAATATATGTGAAATATTGACATAGGTAAATATTTGAAATAATCTTAAAATTTTTAAAAAATAAAATATTATTATATACAAATAGTGGTGAAACATGAAGTAGAATAGGTAACTTAATTAATACCAAAAAGATGATTTTGGAGCATCTAGTGCATTATTTTTATAACTTTGATATAAATTACAACAGTTCTCCCAATTCATCATAGACAGAAAGTTTTGAAGGTAGTTACTCGAATGAGTAAAATATGAAGCACATATGGATCCTATTGGTAAATAATTTGGATGAATTACACAATTAGGAGGTTGAGGTGTTTGAAAATTGTGTAAATTTGATTGGAAAGTTGGATGAATGATTGATTTGAAAATATATTTGAAAAATGTGAATTCAAATTTGAAAAGATAAGTAGGTAAAAAATAAACAAGTACGAGTTAATTAGAATTTAGAGTTAATTAGAACTTAGAAATGTGTTTGGAAACCAACTCGGTAATTATAAATACAAGTAGTCAAAAGTTTACTTTACATATTCAAATAATTTTCATCAATCTTCATTAAAGGAAAAAATCTTTTTTTCGATATTTCCATCGACATCGACGTTTTCATAAGTAAAATAGTCATATTCTTACATTTAATGGTTAAATGTGATCAATTATAAGTTAATTAAGTTACACTTCAAGTTTTATTTGCTAATTAAAAAATTTTCATCAATTTCCACAATTTCCATTATTTTTTCCGAAATATCCATCAACATCTACATATCCGTAAAATCGGGACCTCGATATTTTCATCGACATCGACATTTTGAACACTGCTCTTAGCTTAACTTCAATTCTCCGACATGTCGTTTCAATTGTATGGCTCTGTCGGACGTAAAACTCTCGTCAATGGGACATTTTAGATCCTTTTGGCATCGTTTTCCTTTCTAATTGTTTTAGAACTAAAAATAGGAATACTTTTGGTGAAAGCCTTCCAACGGATGGTTATATGATGATTTTTATTTGTTAATTACACAATGTATTATATAATCTTAAACAAAAAATGAAAACAACGAAAATGAAAAACTACTTTTTTTTTTTTTTTCAAAATTTAGTCTCAGACTTCTAGAAAGGAAAAATAAGATAGATTATCAAATATATCTACTTTTCAAAAAATAAAAAATAAAACAAGAAACAAAAACATTATCAAACAAGTCTTTATTTCCTGTATTTCCTCTTTAAATGGAAAATACATTTTGCGTTCAATAATTGTCCGAACATAATTTTAAGTAACCTCTGTAGTCCGTCGTCATTTTGTTTTATTTTATGTTTTATAAATATATTTTCTTTAGCCACTATAACTTTTGAAATAATTTAATTCTATATTTTCTATGCATGTCAATTCAATGGAAATAAATATAATTATGTCTATAAGTAAGTTAAAATATATAGATTGCTTTAGACCCATTCAATTATTTGTAGCCTTTGCGACTCTTTTTTCTTCCCAGTTCTCACACACGCATTATCGAAAACAAAAAGTAAAACAGCTAACGACAGAAAAACATTAAAAAAATGAAAGCTATTTTCAATTATGAGAGTAATAATAAGAATCCACCGAGGAAAGTAATTTATATTTTCCACTATGTACATAGCGATCACGACTTTGTTTTTTGTTCCACTCAAAAGGTCGAGATAATTGTCCTCTCCTATATATTCATGATCACTCCCTTCCTAGCCAATGTGGGACTTTGTTTGCAATCACCTTACAAATCCAATAATCCTCCTCTCGAATGAAGTACCACCGAGCCTCCCTCAAGTAGTTACTCATCCGTCTACTTTAGAAGATCAGAAACGAGAGCTTGCTCTTATCAAGGCTCCAGACATATCTTGATAGAGCACACCCATGGATTACACTATGACCACACCTTCTGAGGCTCACTACTTATTTGTTCGGCACTCGAGGATTCACCGACACAGCTAGGTTTAGACCATGGCTCTGATACCACTTGTTAAGGACAACAGTACTCCTCGTACCATAATATCTCCACAATGTAGTAGGCGGCTGCATATGTGTAATATATATATATATATATATATATATAGCCCATTTAAACCTAAAATTGTTGGACTTTCACACAGGTGAAAAATACCCCACAATCGTATTCTCAACGGGGTTTCAATGGCTTCTTCTTGCCTGTTGTAGATGTTAACAATGCCACTATCAGAACCAGCTGCAAACAATAGATCAAGGCTATAAATGCAACTGTGCTAGAATAAGGAGAAACTTCAAAAACTTAATTCAAGGCTTTTGATATCCTCTCTACCAACTGGGTTTAGCTTTGCCCTCAATCTTGACACATTCTCCGAACTCAAAATTGAATTCGGCTAGTTTTTTCCTTTGTAATCTTCTCAATACAATTAATTGAAGTAACATTTTGAGATATTAAACTCATTTTCTACTTAGCTCCGATCCTACAAAATCAACCACATTGACAACATAAGCAAAAATGCCTCAGCAGTAGTAAAAGTTTTCATTGCCCCAAATGTTCAATTCTTCAATAGTTCGACAGAAAAGAAAACGCATTATCTATGTAGATATAACATAATCCAAGAGAGAATTTTTTGTTGAGATACTTATTTCGTATGGTTGTGTTAACAAATATTTTCTCCCCTTTTTTTAGTTATTATTTTCTTAAATTTAGAATTATTGAAAACGATGCATTTAAATTGGCTAGGAAAGCCTAATGCCAAAACTAAATTAAAGTAATTATTTAAAAAGTGGGACAAAAATATACTATTTTGAAACTTAAGGACAATAGACATACCACTGACCAAAAACGTAATTTATCGTAATTTGAAAAAATAAATAAATAAATAAAGTTGGGCTATATGGGGCTGCTGTTAATAGGGTGGGCTTAGATTGGGCCACTGGAGCAGAATGAATTGGGCCTGGGTAAGTTGCCTAAAAAGGTCTAAAATTGTAATTTCATTTTTCAAATTACAACAAATCTGAACACTTTTGTTTTTTGTATTTTTTAGTACAATCTGATGCCTAAAATGGGTCATTTACGATAGTTTCTGTATTAATTAATTTATGAAGAACACAAATGATAATGAACTGGATCTGGGATAAGCCAACGTTTTCATCTGTTTTCTTCCTCTGTAGCATTTTAAGCAAAGCATCAAGAAATTAGAGAACAATTTGAGGAAAGTTTGGTCGTCTTTAATACATTTACCTATGGTTTGAAGAATGCTAAATCATAGTTATATGGAATGAAATGAATTTCAAGGATTATAATTTCGAATGTTAACTTTGATTGAGACCTGATTTGACAGTGTTATTGGGCAAATTGAGAAGACAAATTGAAAGAACGGCCATTCTCAATGGTCCATTAACATAAATACATCTCTCTGCAACTGCATGTTATGATTCAAAGACTG